GGTATTTTGCCTTTCACCAGTGTTTTTTTCTGTCTTTGTTTGTTTGTTTGTTTGTTTGTTTGTTTGTTTGTTTACTGTACTATCAAGGGGCAGTACACAAGTAAGCCCATGTGAAGTAGACACACATGATTGGACTGCTGTACATGTATCTTTCCATCAGGCATTATCTTCCAAAACTCTTGAGGCAGATTTTATAGGACCCTAGCCGGGTTAAGGTTGTGGTCTTGTGACCACACTCCTGTTTCACATTCTTGGACTAGATCCAGTAATTACTGTAGCTGTGGAACATGTTGAAGTAGTTTTGGTTTGAGATCAGAGTGCAAGAAGACACTAGTGACCCAGGAATATTCTTGTTGCAACCTGTCCCAGTTGAAGCACTCCCTCAGTGGTAAAGGAGGGACAGGCTGATGGGAATTGTTTTATCTGGGCACTGAGTGCACATGTGGAGACTGTGCATTCCAACCGTGAATTGGAGGCATGTGCTCAGGGTATCCTGTGCCAAACACCCATAAACCTTTGCGTTTGTATGGTGAATGGACGATCCATTAAATTCCGCCCCATTGTTTTCTGACCAACCACAGCCGAGATTTATGTTCGACATGCATGCAGAGTGGCATGGGAGAAGAGCATGTGCTAAGCACCCATGTGCGCAGTGGGCGGGGCTTATTCCTACAAAAGGACCATCTTGCTATTTTTGAAAGTAGGCCATTTCTTGTTCCCATACGGAGCGGATTAGTATGATGTACTGGTACATTGTACAGCATGCTTTGATTTTAGGGCCTTATCTTTTTATTTTCTGTTAATTCCATGGACCACAGCCAGTAATCGTTTCAGAGACCTTGGGAGTTTGGCGTAGAATTAAAGTGAAGTCAGACATGAAGAGTCCGCTAAATAGTATCTTAGTGAAGTAATGTATCAGAACTTTGGAAGCCTTCAGGAATCAGCAGGTAAATTGGATTTTGGCTGCATAAGGTCAGCCTGTCTTAATGCCAACGCTTGCAGGGTTTTTTTTTAAAGGCCAAGGTGACCAACTACCTGTGGGCTTCCTCTATCATTACAGTCCCCCTTCCACATCTTTGTTATTTTTTTTCAATTTGTTTTGTTAGTTTTTAGATATTCTTTCAAATCCAGTTGGAAAATGCTGGAACAATTAAACAAAATTAATTTGTAAACTCCATTTGGCAAACAAGCCTATTGACCACAGCCAACTTTCTGCCTCGACCCTTCCCCCCGCAGCTTTTGGCAAAGTTTAATTATGCCGCTCATTTCCAGGGTGTTCAGATGACTCTTAACATGAGAATGCCATTCCTTTGAAAATGCCATCCAGGTTGGGTAATATGTGACTGAATTGCTGACCAGGGAAATTATACAGTAGACCTCCGCACGTAGCACAAATTGTTCCAGCTGATTTAGTTTCTAAAATTGGATCAAGTTGGGCCCTTCAGAGAGAGAGATAGTCATGCTGAAAAGGTTGATGTGGCTCTGTGGTCTCCCTGGGATGAATGTGTAATCAGACACAACCAGAAGGACTAAATGTCATGCGTGAAATGCAATTTGGACCCCTACGTGCTGGAGATGAGATTCCTATACATCTCGCTCGGAGTCGATAGCATTTATTGGCTCGCAAAACTAGGCCCGATCTCAAAGCAGTTCTGACACCGAAATTGCAGATCACATCAGTGTAAACGTTTTGCATCCTGAAAACCGGTCAGCTGGAGAGATGTAAATATTGGGATTCTAGAACTCATCTTCTCACAGAAATAAGCAGATGAACAGACTTCTGCCGGCTTATGAAAACACTGTGAGTCAATGGATCGGGGGAAAAAAAGGTGAAGATATTTCAGCGAGACCTATGGCATTTAAATTGGAAAGCAAATGCCACAGCCTGTGACTGTGTTCTTGGCTTGTTGCTCATTATTTGAGAGGTAAACAAAGAAGCAGAGAAATCGATACTCAGCCAGTCAGCCGGAGTTTCTATTCCATTTTTAATTGAAGCACCTCGCTTCTGTTTGGCATTGACTGTCACGGTGGCCAAGGACGAAAGCTATCATACCCATGGGCTGCATTATAAATCAGTAATTACCAAAGAGCCTAAACTGTATTGTAATTAGCTGTCCTTATACATGCTTTCAGCTCGTGCAACCATGAACCTGGCCTTGGGGTTTTGCTTAATGTCTTTAAAGGAACAATGAAATGAATTTTTCTTAGTATCACTTTTTGCGCATCTATAAGCTCTTCTTCAATGTATGAAAACTATTTGAAATCTTTTTGGAGTTGAGTTAACTGTAAAGTACCCTTTTTAAAACCTTCAAGATTGACCAAGCTTTTCCAGACAAGTGAGGGTGCTGTTAGTGTGATGTAGATCCAGGAAGATACTGTTCAATTTGCATGGTTTCATGTTCCGTTTTTGAACCCCCAGCGTTCAAAACATTTCTGAGAAAAAGTTAATGGCTGGCTTATTGCCATATCCCATTTACAACAATAAACTGCCAAAGGAAATGGAAATCTTGGAAAGCTACATGTAGCAATTTTTGGTTCAAAAATTAATGCAACACAGAATTTCAGTGCCTTGGATTACATCACAGTTTTACTCAGGAATGTGCAAATTCGTATTTGCATAAAAATCAAAAAGGCCCAAAAATACAGATAAAATAGCAAAACAAAAATTTAAAATAGGGTTTACTGAAATACAAAGGTCGAGTTTCAAGGATTTTAGTAAAATACTTCTATTTCTGGTTCCTTTAAGCTCACTTTACATATTTTCAATACCAAACTGTGGATTCTTCACATGCTACTCAGGTATACATACACGTACATGTAGGCATAAAATTAGGATGTCTGCTAGTAAATATTGACCCCGCGAATTTGCAGAGGTTAAATGCAGCTCAATTGAGTGAATATTCCATGGCATTCCTCACTCCTTGTGTTCTTTCCTTGGTTCTTCCTGTTGAGGCAGTTATTAAGAGAGAGACACTGCATGCCCACTTGTCACATCCCCCCCCACAGTATTCCCAGGCATGGAGCTACCTGTACATGTAGAAACGAGAGCTCCCCCCCCCCCCCGACAGCTTTTGCCAGGGGCAGGCTTTTTCCATTCTAAGATAGGAGTACAGTACGAGTATCTCTGGTCTGATAGTGAAACCAATCAGGGCTAATTGTATACAGAGGCAGAACCAGAAAGGGGGCAAATCTCTTCTGAGAGAGGGGGGAGAGAGTTCTGTTCAGCAACAAATTGGCAAGCCATCAGTGGTGGAAGGGAAATCAAATCCGAGGTATTTTCATGCAAGTTGGTATTTTTCATCTCCTTTCCTATCTGTTTAATTAATCTTCTAGGCAAGTCTCCCCTTGCCACCCCCCATGCATGTACCAATATGTGTGTGACTACAGCCCTTGCTTTTCATTTCACCTATTTTTGCCAAGAACATGGAAAATGTCGCCGCATTTTGAAGATTACATGTAACACAGTAAGGACTCAAGCAGCCATTCTAAAGCTTTAAGGGTGAAGTTAGAATAACAGTGCTTCTGTCTTCAGAAAACTGGAAGGTGAAGGCTAGTTTTGAGAAAAGATAACGAGTGACACAACTTTTACAGACATGTATAGTGTTGATTTTGAACATGAAACTGGAAAATCGCATTTATGCTTGTGTTTCTCTTTGCTGCAGCATCAAAATCAATTTTTTTTCCCCCAGCACTTTACATGTACATTTATGTTGCAAGTCCATTCCACAGAGCTTTTCCTTGTGTATGGGTCATTCTATAAATCTGAGGTCCAATGTTTTTCCTGTCCCTGTTTCTGTACATCTGCTGTGTGATTTGCAAGATTTGTAAATCGTTTGAATTCCCAAGAGTAATTGAGTAATGCAAATAACATGTACACGTACATGTACCCGACAAACAAATTACAATACTTTGAAGTCAGTTTCAGTACTACCGGTGTATAACCCTTCGCAAATTATATTACACCGGTCAGGTGTCACACAGACGGAAAAAGTCACACATCGGTTCCAAAATTTATAGAACGACTCATGTACATGTATATTCATGCACACTCAGAACCAAATGGTCACCCTCTTCAGACAGTCTGCATGTTCCTTTATTAAAATTGAAGTAAATGATGCCACATGTGGTGAGCCAGTGCCAAGATATCAAGTAATAATGTCAGGTTCTTGCACTTTGTTAATGAACCAATATGAATTCAAGGTGAAGAACATTAGCGAAACTGCCATCACGTTCCGTCTGTCTGACATCATCGTGCATATAATTTAACCATGTGGAAATCTTCAATACAAATGATATTAATTTCCTTTTCTTGAATAAAGAGAAAATATGTGCATGTTATTTGTCATCAGTTGTAAGACCCAGTTCTGAAGGCAAAATGCTGTGGGTTATGAAATAATCATCATTCTGTCACATGCTCAAGAAATATTCTAAGAAAAGAGGAAAATGAGTACTTAAACATCAGTTGGAGGGCCCAGTTCTGAAGCCAGTGTAGCAAAAAAATTACAAGGTGACCACTTTCAGACCTCACATTTGATCATCACCTACATGTTTATTCATCATGCAACACCAGGATTACAAACCACTGATACAAATGACTGATACCAGTAGGACTCTGTCGTTTCACAAGAGAAATCAAAGCGACTTTCATATCTGTTGCACAGATTAATAACATGTAGTATTAGCTTCCATACAAATACCACGTGTAGTATGACAAAACTGTCTTCCATTGTTGAGCTACATCTTTAACCCTAACAGTCCTCAGTCCTCCAACAGGTGAAGGATTGAGGACTGTTAGGGTTAAAGACACGTTATATGCTTGTATCAGTATACGGTACGTATGTAACTGGCTACATGCACAGGTACATGAAGTTATGCATCCAGGAAAAAAAATTGAAAGCATCTTTGCTAAAGTATTTCTTTCATCAGGATATCACTCACTTTAATACTGAGTGGCCAAAAATACAAGCTAATAGTCATTGTTTGCCTGGTCTCTTTTCCAGTCTGCAGCTGAGAAGTTTCAGAAGGAGCTGTGCTGGTGTATACAGCAAACCAGGGTGGGACTAGCCAACATCAAATCATCAGCCAAGGAGGCAAAGCCACAAGGTACACTGTATTGAACAATACAAGATCTTCTCTTGCTCCAGGAACATGAGAATGGTCTGCTTTGCTTGCCAATTTGGCAGATTACAGAGAATTAGATACCAGATGCTATGCAAACTGCATTTCAGTGTACCAACTTGACGCACTTGCTGCAAAGTCTGAAGAGTACTTACATGTAGCATAAAAGAGCAACAGCATTACGGGAGGGTCTTAAAAGGATTTCACTTTCTTGAAAAAGGTGCTCGTTGGGATTGGTTGTAATGTTGAGCATACATGGACCATTGTGCAAAGTTCCATTTTCCATTGAATTCAGAGCTATGGGCACAAGTGGTGGTGCTTGTTGGAAGACTCAGGGTGGAAATGTGCCCCTCCTACTTTGTAATTTCCAGGTATCTTCATACAGTATTTGGGAACATCACTGATGAAGTTTACAGTAATTCTGGTAAAAAATGAGGGCATTTTTCTCTTGGTGCTAGGGATACCACACAGTAGCACTTCATTCGGCTGTTTTAACAATATTTTTCTGAATGGTCATTGCTCAAACTCTGGGTTGGTATATATGCTGGAACTGAGCTGACATTTGTACTAACTTGATGATGCAATTTACGCCCACCACTAACCCCCCCCCCAAAAAAAATATTTGCAGTGAATACAAAAATGTCTGACAGGAACTAATGATATATGTACTTGCAAAAGTAAGTGACTGCACTCTTCATGACAGTTTTCCTCATACACCCATCTTCCCCCTTCAATTCCCTCTGATTGAAAAACAGCTGTGCTCTTTCTTCTACTTTTCATAACTGCCTTCCCAGCCTGGCAATGTCAGGCTAGCCATCTCTTGCGAGGAGCATACCTTTAGAGTCTTAAAAATCAATCAAGCTAAAGAAAGCAGCATATTAATCCCTACAGACGAATCTTCTTCCAGCCTCCTGGCCAGCTTCTTCACTCCTTCCTTAATTAATCTGGGCCCTTCAACAAATCCCCTGTGTTGCCTTCAACAACAGGAGAAGGGAGGTATTTTAAAGTTTGAGGGAAGGAAGTCACTGAACCTCAGATGCCATTTTGATTTGGCAGTCAATACTTCTTGTCTGCAGGGAATTTTGTCGAGGAAGCAATTAGGATTCAAACTTTTAAGTCATATTTTTAAAAGCACTCGCAGTTCCAATTTTCTTAGAGTGTTTTCTTGCATTCACATGTAGGCAACGAATAATGGTTGAGAAAACCTCTTTTTTTCTGTCTAGCATTTCCTTATTTTTCCCTGTACAAACGATGCCCATGTCAGAGCACAGAGGTAAGAACAAAAAATGAAAGAATAAACTTTGTAAACAAGAAACGGAAGACAGCAGGTGCTTTAACCAAAAAGGTAGAAACTGTTGTCGTCCTATGAAAACATTATTTCTGTCGTTCATGTACACACAGTTTACCATTATGCCTTTGCAACATTTTTCCCCCAAACTTTCAACTTCACACCAGGGTTTTTTGGACAGGTGCAAGATGTGTGGGTTTTTTAATTGCGACACTCATCCCAGCACAAACCTGATGCATACGAGGCTGAGAAATCAGCACAGTGCAGAAGTACTGATTGACTTTCAGAAAACTGTGATCATGTGTGAAAAGCACTTAATTCCCAAGGCTGTTTCTGGCGATGTCAGCAGACAGCCTGCTGTCTCTGCACAAGCTCACTGATATATCACTGGTGATGAATTTATACCTATAAAAATTAAATGCACACTTCCTGAAATAATGGTTGAGCGAGATGAATGATGACGTCAGAAGAGAAGGAAATACATGTAAATGTACATAAGCAGTCCAAGGCTTACTACAAGAGGCTTCAGATGACAGAGTTTACAGGCTTGGCAGATCTTAAACCTAACCCCTATCAGATATTCCCAGGCACAATTCAGCATTGTTAGAATGAGAGTCACGTGAAATAAAATGTGCCTTGCAGCATTATGTTACATAAACATAAGCTTTTGCTCTGTGTACTTAAAATCTAGCAATGTATATCTAAGGTACGTGACTGTTGCCTTTGGTTCCATTGAGCAATAGACCGATAGTTAAGGGATTTCTGTCAAGCGCTTAAATGCATTTGGCAAAGCACAAGGTAGTACAAAGTTACAGAGAATTGGCATCATAAAATACCAAAGTCACTCTCAAATTACATTTCTGTGAACAAACGACTATTATCCCACATCAGAAATCATTGCCTACATCACCTATTGTTTCTCAAGTTCTCCTCTGGAAATGGAAGGTGATTGTCACCGCTAAGCTAATCCTCTGGATCCCCCTTCCCCTTTCACAGTGGAAGAGGCTCACAAGCTGCTGCGGATCCTGACATCCACCAAGGCTCCCATGGCCAGGAAGAGGCAGGTCATGAGGGCAGCATTCGGCGACTACAGGAGCAAGATGCAGCAGGAGGAGAGAAAGCATAAAGCAGGTGCAGTGAAGGACACGAGAAGTCCTTAGGAAGGGGGGGGAGTTGAGGGTTGAAGCAAGGTATGGGTTTCAGTTTAGAATAGGTCTTTTACTTGAACCAAACGTGCGACTTTACCACAGAATCGGCAAATTCCCTTTTAGTTTTTTCTACTTCTTGTGCATTCCATTCCTAATTGGCAGACTCGTCACAAAATCCTGTGCAGTCGCAAGCTTGGGGAAGAAATTGGCAGTGCAGTTATAAAAGAGACAAGTGGGGTTGAAGTTTTGAAGTAGTATTTTGGGGTCCGGAGGTCACAGAAATGAGAAGATGGGAGTATAAGACTTGAAGAGAGCAGGATGAAGGATTTCCCCCTGCCTTCATGCACACTTATTGATTGTACTTTGCAACCGGGCAACAAGAGAGCCAGAAATGGTTATTCACAGCCATGCAGTAACATACAGTGCCCAAATGAAACTTCAGCAACCTCAATATTAAACAAGACGCTGTGGAGAGAAAGCAGTATGTTTGTGGGCGTGCTGAACATGTTTTTAATTTTAAATGCTGTGTTGAGGAATTTGGCCTTACAAAAACTTGTAGAATGAAATAAATTTGAGTACAATCTATGCATGAGCATTGTACCCCCTTAGCCAACTCTGCTCAGTTGTTGTTGCCTGATATTTGATCAGTGTGGTAGTTTGGGATTGGAGGTTTTGAAGCACATCACACCACCAAGCATGTGGCAGAGTGAATTTCTGATATACCCTGCTGAATCAGTTCGCCAAACATTTCCTTTGTCTTAGAAATGAGCAAACGAATGTGTCTGGAGCCAGTCAGTACGAGCAAGCAAGGCAGCAGTACGTTCTACAGGATGTCCAACTTAGCCAGTGCTTCTCCCCCGTCACAAATATTGTCCACCAGCAGTGACCTTCCTGGTGAGGCAGGGCCCTCCCGCCACGATTCGGGGCCACTTGGTCACGGATTGGGGTCGGCGGACAATAAGTGGTTGGAGGGCGGAGAGGTTGACACATCAATGCAAGAACTGGAGAAGAGCACCGAGGGCATGCACATTGTAAATCCCTCTGGGAAAGAAACTGAAAATAAGTCTGTCGATCACGACAAGGCGAGTCCAAACAGCATGCCCGGACCACCAGTCGGCAATGACCAGATGCGTTTAAAACAACATGAGGGAGAGTGTGCTGGGTCACCCGCAGAGAATGCAAAACGGCCCAACCTGCCCCCGAACCTAAAGAGTGAGAGTCAGCCGTTCACCTTCAACTTTGACATCCGGGAGAAGGATCTTGACCGGAGCGAATCTAGGTGGCGGGGCTCCAACAAGAACATCGACGGCTCCCTGAGCGAGAACAGCACCCCAGAGAAGTTTCCCCTGGGGGGTGGGAGTGGCCGGAAGAAATCGGGAAGTAGGAGGCGGAACCGTGGAAAGAAGAAACAGCTGTCCATCTCAAAGGACAAGGATGCGGTGGTGGCCGTTAATCAGGCCACCGTCACAGATAATCAAACCACTGTCAAAGATGGACAAACCACCGATGTCGACAAACGATCCACTGTTACCGATAATCAAAAAAATCACTTGGAGGCTGACGGGGAGTTCAGATTTAACTTCCCGGAACCAGTTGAGCAAGTTGTAATGCTGTGACTTTTTTGTGCACTCAATTAGCAAGTGAATATTGGCCAGTTTGTAGCAGCTTAGCTGAAACCCCACCATGATGGCAAGCTTTAACAGGTTGTGACACCAGGTCACCAGTCATCATGCCATGGACCTCTATCATGGGGTGGCCATCTTGCTTTGCTATCATTCAAACTGGAAGGGAAAATAGTTTGTTCCTCTTTATCAACTGTGAAGTGTATTACCGTTGTCAGTGGATCTACAGGGAACAAGGCAAATATGGCAGCACCATTTTAAAGGTCTATAGCCTTGACCTTGTCTCTTTCGCAACCGTCACATTTTAATTTCTTGGCTTACAGACAAGTACAGGCTTGTGTCCTCAGATTCACCTCCAGTGTAACGGGATGTGTTGATAAAATGATAGGGGGGGGCAGATTGTGTTATTCACAGTAATCTTCTCTTCAACTACCGGTACTCACTAGTCGTTCAGTACATCTATCAAGAGCCTAGTTAAGGCTACTTTGTAGAGATTCCTATGCCCTTTTTGATGAGATAGATCTTTTTGCAACAGTATCAAGAATTAACAAAGTTGTTTATTGGTACTTTTTTGAATTTATAACCGTATGTATAAGAAAAAAACTTCATAAGCTCTGCGCACAGTTAGTCAGGAGCTGTGATCTCGTACAAGAGGTGAAGTACATGTATTTTCTCCCCTGGAGTTTGACTGTCAAAGACACTTTTTACATGCAGTAGCCAGTGATTTAGCAGGATTAAGGAGACTTTAGGATCAGAGTTTCTTCTGACAAGCTCTTTCGACTCTGTGAGTAGAGTGCTCAATTTATTGTGTTAGGTAATTTTTTCCAGTAAGAAATTCCATGGACAATAAAACATGGCATTAATTACTACAGTGCACAATTTTAAAGGCACTGGGTAGTGTGTAGGGTACCTTCAATCACAAGTACGCGAATCTGACCTAAAATGTTCACTTCCATTTCATCATTTCAACAACTCAGAATTGCGAGAATTTTTGCATCATTTGCATGCCAGTTCTGCACAAAATATGGAAGAGGATTATTTTCCATTTTGGGGGTGGGGTGGGGTTTGTGCTGAGAACGGGGGGGGGGAACTTGCCCGGTCAGGAGAATTTTAAAATTTGTTCACCAACTTTTAGTGCTGGTGAATAGATTTTGGTTGTTGGGAAGTCCACCTCCTCACCTGTAAGTGGGGGGATGTATACCTCTCATATCCCCATGGTTTTATTATTATTTTTAGGCTTCGGTTTTTTGCCTTTCCTTTGGTTTGATTTTCCTTTGTCTTTTCTTTCACTATAGCAGTATCTCTGTAAAGGAATCAACCTTACCGGGAATTTGTACACCTCCACATTGCATTTCTTTCTTTTTTGGGGGGGGGGACTTGGCAACATGCTGTTGATGTTTGGTTCCAACAGATAAATCCCATGTTCCTGACAGTAGAATTTTAACTTGCATGGCTGTGATGCCAATACTGCTCATTGCATTCCTGAAATAGAAACACAAACTCCCCTGAAAAAAAGAAGAAACAGTCTCAAGTCAGATTAATGCCACCCCTCGTCATCAAGGGTATGGTGTGGCCAAAAGGGCTTTTGCTCCTCCCCAACCCAGCAAGTCAGGTGTTTTTCTTTTTTTTTTAATAATGAAAGGCAACATGTATTTTATTTCCCCGTCTTCAGAGAGCATTAAAAAAGCCCTAAAGTGTAATCCCGCCCCTCAGAAAGGAGATAAAGGTTAAAGGAAAAAAATCCAATTTTTTAAGGCCTCCCCTAATGCGGTTGGTTCGAAATCCACCCTTATCCACCCTGTTTTGCAATTACTGCCAATATATTCTGTCACTAGTGTATAACTGTTGTTATATCCAAGTATATTTATTATGCTACCTGTACAATTTACCCAATAGCCATAGAGCAAGAAATATGTAGCATTTCGGATTTGTACCAGTCAACATTTTGACAGGACTGAGTTGTCCAGCTCAGGGCACTTTTTATTGTCTAGAATATTCCTGCCCCATATGGGATCATAACAGAGTAATACAGTCTGTTCAGTTTGACAGAAGTAAGCTTGCTGTTTTTCCCCTCAATTAAATTTCTAGAATTTTCCATCATGCCTTAGGGTAATTTTGGGCGAGTGGGACATTCAAGCAAAAATGGTATAAGTGTTTGATGAGATGGAGTTTGCTTCTACAAATTGACCAATTTTTTCATACATTTCAGGCACTGAATTAATTTGAATATCAAGAGAGGTGACCAGCACTGTCTTTTGTCCCACATACTCAAGACAGTGGAACGGCCGTTTAAATATGTTATTTGAATCACAGAAATCATTACTTCTCCCTTTTGTAGCAATCGTGTTACATCTGTCAGATGATTGAAATTTATAATACAGCAAGCAGATATTGTGAGACTTTGATTGATCGTCAATATTTTCTAAGAATTGCTTCAAATATTGATCAGCGAAAATGTACGATTACAGGTGATTTTCAAGACAAAACGATGGCTCTACCTGCAAGTGGACACCGTTTCGTGTGCTAATTTTTCTGCTGAAAATGTTTCCTCCAGTAAGTGTTTTTAGGAAGTATTAGGAAAAATAGCCACCAAGTTAGTGTCCTACTTGCCCTATTCTCACTTACCCCTCTTTCTGGACAATTAAATGGGTCGTGTTTTGTATTTGGTCTTTGCAGTCTGATTGTATGCCGCCATTTAATTTATTCCCGGTACTTACCAGAAAAGCTTTTAATGTGCACATAACTGCTTGAGAAAAAAAAATGGTGTGACAAGCGATGATCGATGGTAAACTATTTTAAGTGCGTATTTTAATTTTGTGCACAGATACATGCCTGAAAAGTGGAATAGTATTAAAATTGGTATGTGCATATTCATAAGCCTACTCCGCATTGCGTGGAAGTTTAATGCGCATCCAACACTGCCGAAGCTGCGTTCACATGTGCTGCCGATATTCTGAACAGATATAGGATGGTGCTGCGTTAGTGTGTTCTCGCTAAGTTTAAACCACACCCACTACACTTAATAAGCTTAGTTTGATCAGCGGCGAATTGTCAACCAATGGTCCATTTTGACTGGTAACCTATGCATGACATATATACCGGGCACCTGGCAAATTGACCAGTGGTTAACAAATTGTCGCTAATCAAACTAGAAAATAAACATGGGACCATGGAACTGGAAATCAATGCATAATTCGAGTGTTCAGCTAATAGGAGTTAATGATCACTGGTACGTGTGCGTTGTAAGTGAAGCCACTTCAGTACAAACCTCTTCTCATACCATTCGCGCAAACAATCAACAGTTACATTTCTGCCATCTTGAAATAACCACGTGATGGAAGAATTAACTCGTGATACTCCTGTTTTTTGTCCACTTGGGTGGCGGTGTGCTATTGTCCTTATCGCATATCCTGGGCATTTACATATCTGTGAGGTAACACGGGTGTGGCCGGCCCATACCTGTACATGCAGCCTTTGCAATCATTACAACGGAAAGACTGCAAAACGACATACGTGCATGAGTCTGCACGTATGCAGAGCCTACATCGCACAGATCTCTAGTTTTGAATGGCATTTTTTGTTTATTTTTCACAGGTGATTTGAAAGAAAAGTTATATAGTCGTCATAGTGCTGCAAGATATAAAAGTCAATTTTTTCCGTCATAGTTTAATCGGGAAATGTATATATATATGAACACTGACAGGTTTTCATGCCATGAAATAATTTCACCTCTGACACAGTACGGCGTCTTGAGAGCAATTACCTGAATTACATCCGGTTTTTATAGGTTACAATAATTTATCAATAATTAGTTCGTCCATAAGCTTGTCGCAGGAACCATGTTGGTTCCAAAGTCTGAAGTTGGCGCTACTAATCAGTTCTGGTACTGGATGGAACAATGTAAAATAGGCCTATTAATTATTAAAAATAAATATCGTATGAAAATGAACCCTGGAATCGAGCCCATGATAAACAAAGAGAACATGTCTACAAAGTCAGTGAGCTAATAGGAACTGCGGAACATCCGCGATTTCAACAATGTTACTCTTCTTCGAACGATTTCTCCACAGATCCACGCAGTGGAGCAGTGAAACCCTAATACATCAGTGACTGACATAGTAAAATCCACAATTATGGTTATTGCGAGGTCCTCTTTCTTGAAAACGGCGACTGGCTGCCATTAAGTTAAGCGTCAAATAGGCCCTCGAGCCTTTTAGGCGTTGAATCATCGCTTACGGTATACGGAGCCCACGTGCTAGCGGTGCCTCGTACATAAATAACCGTGGCTGTGGTGGCTGCACGGTCCTGATGGAGAACGCCCTCAATGTTCAAATTATGAAGAAAACTGACATTTCGGGAATTTCCCCGTTGAATTACAAAACAGGATGTACATGTACTGTGCGCAGCAGTTTTACAGAAATAGGCCTTTACTGACCTGAGGCCTCATCCATCGTCGCTGGATCAGAGGAGTTTATGTCTGGTTCATGTTTCTGAAGCAAACTGGTAAGGCTCCTTTCTGCATCGTATGCAAGTTAGATATACATGTATATGGATAGCAGAGAACAAATTTTCGATCATGTCATTACCCTACCTTACCCAGAAATTCAAGTCTGTACCCTGCAGGGATTTCAGTTTTCAGGCAAATGCCTTATTAATGTAAGCTCAAGGCTTCCCTGCCCTTTCCGGTTTGGACAATGGCCTGATTGAAAGCCCTCTCCCTGCAAAATGTTGCAGTGTAGTAGTACTCCTACATCCACTGCGGATTATTTGTCAGGGTGGATCCAGGAATTTTTCCGGGGAGGGGTCAGGCCGGAGATTTTTTTTACGTCTCATTTTTGCGGTTAAGCGGAAACGATGATGAAACATTACACACGGCATACATTGTTTACAGTGGTAATGGTGCGCTCAGGTTTGTTATCTTGTATGGTTTTCCCCATTGCTTTTCATTCTTTTTATCTCAGAGCAGGGGTTCGACCAAGCTGCATGCATCATTGAGATCAAACCTGTATGAAAAGCCAGAAGTCAAAGTGCAAAGCTTTCTTGGCGTAATACGAATTTCTTTAATTGCACTCTCGATTGAAAATAAGGTACGCCAGGTGTCAGGACATTTCAAATTTTGCTAATTTCCGATCTAATTTTAAGAGCAAAACAGGAAAAGATCATTTGAACATAAACATTTTATAGACGTGCGTTCTGGCTACTGCCTGCAGCGTATTTGTTAGGTTATCAGTGATGCCAGTGTATTCAATGTACAATACAAAACCTTTCATTTTCTACGAGTATACTCGTAGTGACAGAATGCACACATGCATACCCATTGTCGACAGTCAACGTGTTAACCCCTTCAGTGAACCTCAATAACTTCAGAATTTACTTTTACAAAAAATGGCTAGCACTAAATGATGCACTCAATCCTATGTACATGTACATGATTGCCCTTGTTACAATAAACCTTTTTATGCCTTGACTGAATTCGATGACGGGTATACCGCCCTCTAGGAATGTGGGCCGAGACGAAAGTGGGAGAAACTATTCGTTTGATTGAACTTATGTTGAGTTTCTCTACATATTTGCCAAGTTTTAGCAAATTGAGCATAGGACAGGCGAATTTGGCTAGAAAATACTCAATGAATCAATGAATCACTGCAATCAGTGCACTTTATAGTCTTATTATGTAAAACATATGTTAATAAATGATTAAAGTTTTGGTCTCAAAATCTCGAAATTAAAACGAGTAGGTAGGCCCTAATCCTTGCTTACTCAGGACTTTATGAAGTAACCATAAGGGTTTATGTAAAATCATATCGAAATCGGAGGATTGAAGACTGTTGTCATGGGTAATGACTACTGATTATACACCGTGACCATTTGATTTAGCATCCAGGCCAAATGATTCAAAATGAGAAAATTTAAGTTGATGTTCAATGATGCTTTTGGTTTATTATTAATGTGTAAATTGCAATAAAGTATATATTAGGCTGTATAGGAGTGTGGCACTGAATTGTTAATATGTTTATACATTTATACAAAAATAATGCCTGTCGGTATCTGTTAGAGTGTTTCAAGTTTTAAAAATCAGTTGACAGTGGGCCCTGAATGAGTAATAATTTGAACAATTTTGTTTAATAAAATTGTTAGATTATCAAAGTTCGTACAAAAAGCATTTCCTCTAGACAATGGACAACTAATGAAGCGTAAAAAATCAAGAGAACTTCAAAAGGAATAATGTATGATTTAGTCTACCGATCACTCCAATATTTCTGGGAAACTTAGAAAATGTTTGCAATGTGAAAGTAAAGACATAAAAAACTAATAAATTAATAAACTTGTTTACTTTTTCGCAGATGTTCTTATCTGACCAGTGTTAAGGTTCGCTTAATTGTTGTACTTTTTCACTAGTACTAAAACTCTTTACTTGCATTTAAGAAAAATGAGAGATAAACGGTCATAATGTATTAACCAATTCACTGATTATTTCAATGAGGAGGATGAGATTTTTCTCCCAAAAGGAAATATGACCATTAGTGGTTTTATCGTTCCTTGATGTAGATGTACATCAAAAAACATCGAAGGTCCCTGTAAAAAACCCAGTGGTACCCCATAAGATATATATCAGACAGGTTGGCCTTAGTTGTTAAAAAAGTACACACTGCTATCGATCATAAATTCAAATACTTTTAACCAACTGGGAGCAACTCCAGTATGCTGAAGTCATTTAATTGATCAAAAAATGAATTATGATTAATGGTGTCAAAGGTTTAGATAAATCCAAGAACTTGCATTATGGTGTAAACGGCAGGTCCGTGAACCAGACAATGCGACCGGTTTACTCTGTTGGGGTCACATGCCGTGCAAACAACGTTCCTGTTGATCACACGGTTTAATAGTGTTGCTCACTTTGGGAAAACCCGACACTGTCAGGCGCCATAGAATAGTACGACTTGTTTGTTTACTTAACAATCCAGACCCCCCTCCCAATATTCTTGTTCGATTTCAATTCATTTTAGTATTATTTTTAAACTTAACATGGCAGTCTTTGTTTTTAAATGACCTCATTACTATTTTTATTAGTTTTATTTCGTCGTGAGGTCGTGACTTGGATGAGGTCTGCTTTGACCAAATTGTTGGCTGTGAACGCAGCATTCGCAATCGTAGCCGTAGGCCTACTGTCAAAGCAAATACAATAGTTGCTTTTAGAAAGCACAAAAAGTAACAGCAAAAACATAACCTTTCACCAAGAGTGAAGATTGGAATGGTAGGTTTTTCATGCGGTGATTCTTGCCGAATAATTCACTTTGAAAGTATATAGGTCGCTAACAAGTACGGTTGCGTCGTGTATGGTGGAAGAGGCGTCATGGTGCGTCGGCTATTCATACACCATAATTTCGGGATTTTATTATCGGATGGTCGACTGTGGTTAAGAGAGAAGCCCAATGCATATATACGTCAAAGGTAACTTGTTTGGGGATATTTACGCTCTAAATGTAGTTTGTCATTGTTGAATAAGGCATATTGTGAGCTCAAGGCCTTGACCAAAAAAAAAAAGACTATTAACGCATGAGAAAGGAACTTTACAAATCAGTCAAAACACAAACTGCGATCAGGAACATTACAGTATAGGTTCGTCGCGCCGTCAGCAGCAAGCACGTACGCTCCCACTGCAGTCGGGCCTCTGCACCACCTCTTTCCAGTGGTGCCGATTGGAGAAGTGCCTCACAAATTGGGCAGTCGTCTGGAACTGGCATCAGCGTCGGGGTTAATCTATATGTCCTATCTAAAGACACTGGATTAAGACGTCGGAAATCATCTCAGTGGTAAGCGGGCTTTTTCCATCACAGCAATTGTAATTTGTGTCTAGGAAGTCCAGCAGAACGACCCTTTGGTTTATTTTTGTAGAATAGCTATATTTTGATCAGTTTTCTGACATGTCTGTGCTTTAAAGTAATAATTTTAACCCCTATTGTAGTGGTTTGAGTATCCATCTTTGCATCTATAATCTTTGATGGGTCCTGCCAACACTTATTTAGTTGCAATGTCTTCGCAAAATCTCGATCAACAAGCCGATCACCCAATTTGCGCGCGACCATTTTGGTTTGAGGTTGAAAATATACCCGCGTTTTTAGTCTGGCGTTGGATCAAACTGAGTCGGGGGATATGACGACAATGAATGTGGCCAGGATGAAATGTTTTGTATTTCCGTTTTAGGAGGCTAAAAAGTACCGATGTCGAACAATTTTCCCGTTAAACAAAAAATGACTAAGCAGGCAACGAAATATGATGTGAACATGAATGTGCTCCCTGCATGGCAATTTCGCAATGATCCTTTTGTTGCAAAGTTCTTACAGCACTTATTCCTCATTACTCATTATAGATTATAGATTGTGGCCCCAGGAATTGTATTTATTTATTTTCCAAACATGTATAATGACTTTAAGATTTAGAGATGTCCCCGAGAAACATGCTGTATAGTTATGTGCGTATTAATTAGACTTCAACGTCTTTTTCCTGAAGTTATTTTCACACATACCACACAAAAATACCGGAACAGTAAGCTCACATCGTTCCAAAAATTGTTAAAGTAGAGTGTTTTAAGTGGGAAACCCATTTCGCTTTGGAATTGGCCGAGAATCATGCACTGAAGCGACTAATAAGAGTATTGATTTTGTTTACAGAAATTATGGTCGAGTTGAATTTCGGAGACGGAGACTCGACAGTGGAAGCTAGTTTTTCGGCGGGGCCATTCAGCAGCTTTTTGAAAGCCACAGGGCTTTCGGAGAAGCAGGCAACAGCACTTGCTGCCTTTACAATAATAATTATTGCAATTATTGTCAGAGGTCTTTTACGCAGAGCACCGATGGAACGGCCTGGAGGAAAGAACAAGAAAGGAAAGTAGTTGAAGCACATCCTGTTATAGACACATCACTTCGTTGATTTGAAGAGGACGATGGTGTCGTGGTCCCATAATACAGGAGATGTCTACCCATTTTAGTTATATTTTATTTTAATTTTTAAGTTGTTGCTGCTCCACATTTAGAAATGTGACACAATTTACACAATATCCCTGAGGTACTTCACCGACAGAGGCCATGACAATCATGATGTTATTACTCTGGTAAATGATTTTAATCAGCTGATCAAATGCTATTTCCTGTATTATGTATTGCAATGATACTGCTTCTGTTAACAAAAATAACGTGTTTCCGCGGAAACAGATGGCTTCTCCTCAGTACTGATACCAGGAGCGAAGTTTCGGTGGCGCACGTTTAGGCCTATAGCGTAAAAACGATGATTTTCATTGGTCGCAAGGTCATTACGCCCTGCGTACTATGATATCTTACACAGCCGCGCGAAGTTGACGTTCAACAATTTCAACGATACGGACAACTGCAGCACTGCAGGTAGCCTAGGTGAAAAGCGGATTTGAAAACTCGATTTCCTCTAATGCTTGACAAGAAAAACATAAATGACCTGTGGATGGTGAACGAACAATTTGAGATAAGATTTGTATTCTGTTAGTTTGGGTCGTATGCAGTTTAACTGAATATGAAGGATGGCATTTGTTCGAAATGAGACGTATCTAGAATAATGATGAAATCCATTCGCAGAATCAAAGGCAGGTGGAGGGGGGAATGGGGGTCCGTTTCTCTCCCTAAGGAAAGGAATTAATTAAGATGGTCGGTGTGGGGTCTATTTTATTTAAACTCCTTCCAAAAGCGTGTAAAAACCCCAGGGTACAGGGTTTAGCCCCACCCCTTAGAAACGGCATTAAAGGTTACATTTGCCCCTCCTCAAAAGTTTTGCCTACCCAAAATTTAGTTCTGGATCCACCAGAGCACGGCTAGGCAGCTTCAGAATCATCGCAAGATCTTCAGTTATCATTATCTAATTGGTTAACTTGTTTTGTAAGTTATTAAACTACTGTATTTCTTTGATGGTAAAGTTTCCCAATATAATCATCTTATTGATTTTGGATCTGATTCATCATCGGTGTAATCTTGTTCACTTTCTTGGCATACGAAAACATTCAACCTTTCTATTCAGCTGATTTAAATTTGGTAACAGTTTAAAGATTTTTTATCTTAATAACGAGAATGTAAGTAAGATTTAGACCTTGCATGGTGGAGGCTAGACTAAGAGAAGGGTTGTGGATACACCATGTGAAAACGTCCTCTTCTATGGTTCTTCACAGGATCAGGACCACTAATCTTGTAGAGGAGATCAATTTCCCACGTTGTACCCGCCAAACCTAGAGAATTTAACACTATAGTGTATACACAGACGCGGTTCTAGAGTCATTTTTTATGGGTGCAGATTTATCCTTCACACGTAAAGTTACCTTTTAACTTTCGCTACTGCTCGGACTCTTCAAGGTGTTAATGATCGTGGATATTTATTTAAACACTTTAAACAATTAAATGCAGAACTCCAGAATCAGTTTTGTCCTGACCATTTATTTTTCAGTTTTGTACTTTTGAGGGGCTAGAAAAAAGTTTGCCCCTAGTAGAACTGCGCCTGGTACTACATTTTTTTTTCCAATAACTGTCACAAACTTGATCTAAGTCATCACCTCCTACACCGTTTTGCTTCATTTTGGTAATAAGAACACAAAATACCCGTCAGGTGGTATTCACGTAAATGAAGCAAAAAGTCACCAACAAATTGTTCTCATTAGCCTATACAACCCCCTTGGGTCATTTTTATGAAGAGCTTTTAGCACCTTCTCTGTTTCATGCTTTACTTTTTGTAACGAGGGATTATGGTCTGTCTGCATCCAATTATGTGTCGAGTTTATTTACTTCAATTTATTTTTCAATATTCTGCGTTGAAATTGTCTATTCACACTAACATGTCTTACCAGGTACGTAATTCGTCTTCTCGTACTTTGTCAAAATCATTCGATCATTGACCATTTGTAGAATGAAACAATAAACTTCGTAATTTGGAAATAAATGTTAAAATGTAATGATAGGCTACATGGACTGCTCAATCTCGTACGTAATCCATCTCTTTGATGTACACAGTAAAAGTGCTGTCAATTTGTTGGCTTACAAAGTTGTCACTGTGTCTAACATTGATTGTTACTGATGCCGTGGCAGATAACTTTAATATGGAATTCCATTTCTGCCAATTACACGGGGCATTCTTCTCCCCTCCAAAAACAAAAACCTCGAGAAGAGAGGGACTACCACCATTCCAGGCTGAGTGCCTTCATATTGGTATGGAATTCCATATCTTGGACTTGGTTGTACGCCCTCATAAGAAGAAACTAAGGAACGACCTCTATCAAAACGCGACAATGCGACGACACGACAAGACGATGCACCGTTGACAGCGGAATTGGCTACAGACCCATGCAAGGAAGAATGCCCCACATGCGCCGCGTAATTGACAAAAATGGAATTCCATACTTCACAGGTCCCCCCATGCTATATGAATCTCGTATCCTTTTATCTTTAGGCCTTATAAGCGAGCTGGATTTAATATATCTGATAACTGCGAGAAGTCAACGGTACATAAAGTCAACCCCCCTCCAAAAACCACCCAATTCAACCCCCCCCCCCGAGTGACATACATTCCCAGACAGCTTTTGATGTTGAGCCCTCACAAAATGGTGACCCTGGAAATAATGGCAGTAAAGGCGCCTGATCGCTCTTATTTAAATGCAAAAGGTTTTGGAAATTCCCTTCTATAATTATGTAGTGTCACGCATGCGTATTTTACCACCGCTTCAACAAAGCAGTTTGGAATTAGCCTACGCCACTGACTCTGGTCTGCCAGTCCATACAAAATTGCAATTGGACCAAAACTCGGTCTACATAAGAACTGAAGTTATTTTTTCGCTCCGTTCTCCGTCATTGGAGTGGTGAGTCAGTGGCTGTATAACGTGCTACTTGGAAGGGCTTCGTTTTAAAGATTAATTTTACATGACAAATTCTTGCAATCGTGACGCACATAACCTTGTGTAGCAAACATACCCGTATATAATGTGCGGCGGTTACTTGACCATACCCTGGCATATCATTTTCTGGAAGGCAAAGCAACCTGCCCTCGCTCTGTTTAGTCCTCTTATTTGAAGTGTTCACATTTGCGAAAATGAAAAAAGTTCAATCTCACGTGACTGGACCCTGTCGGAAGTTCAAAACTGTCAGAAGTTCGAAACAGAAGTGCTTAAAGATCAACCTCGTCCCCATGGTGATCGAGCTGAGCAGTACGCTACCACTAGCCGCTCTCTCACCCTAGTATTGGATCATTTGCATGTATCCAAAAAATCTTGGATATTACAAGTAGCCACACTGTGGGCGATGTGTTCTGGGTTTAATAGACCCAGTATTTCACGGTAATTGGCATGTTTTCCGTTTTTTAGTATTTTGCCATTTGTAATGCAATGAAATTCGTGTGCAAGTAACTTTAAACTAGAAATACACGTTGTAAAATCGGAACTCCAACTGCACGATAAGATTTGTCTAGACAAATATGAATATGGAGGATATGCTAATATCGGATTTTTATTGCCCAATCAGAGCAGAGTACGAAACTTTCCTCGCCAGGTCTACTGTATTGTAGACCATGGAAACGAGGTTGTTTAAAAACGAACCATATACTAAATATGAAAGACATTTGCACGCCCGCGCCCGTGCCTGCACGCTGCGTCGCACTAGTGGGCACACAACCAAAAAGGCGCGCGCAAAGCACAGGCTAACAGGTTATTGAGTTATCGAAGTCGAAAGTTCTGCCTAATCGCCTCCCCCGCACCCGCCCAAGACATTTTTTAAAGTATTGAAAGTATCAGCAGTTTAGAAAAGGAACCACCTTTATATTTTTGGAATTCGTGCTCTAGAAGGAAAATAATTGGAGAATCGTTGACGGAACAGAAAATAAAGCTCCCCCCCAATTCACGACATGGAAACAGCGCAGGCGATATATAGGCTGCCCATTTTAGTCCATTAGGTGGGTATATTTCTAAAGCGTCGTGGCTAGACAAGCTCATCAACACCTCGGTCAAGGATAGGGAACTCGTAGTCTGAGCGTCATCCACGGCTCATCCGCAAGTGTCTGTTGGGCACGGCTGATAAAAAAAACAAAAATAAAAACAAAACAAAACAAAAAACACCAAAACTGAAGTCTTAGGGTCAAGGGTCGGGGAAAGGGCCTGCCTAAAATAATGGTCTGCAAATGTCTTGTGCGTGTGGATAAAACAACAATTGGCAAATGCATCGGCAATTAATTGCAATGCCTAAGCAATTATTGCACTTGGGGATATTTGAGATTATTTTAATACAAGAATACCTGTTGTGTGTAGGAAGACAGAATTTTGCCTTTCACGCTCCATAATAGCTTACCACCAGATAAAAAAACCAGAAATTTTTCGGTTCTGTTTCTAAATCCTTATACTTAGAACGTATTCCAAAAAAAATATGAATTTCGCATTTTTTAAAAATCCAGTATTCCCAATTTGTGTCCTGTAACACTGCTATCCAAAAAGTTAAGTATGGCCTGAATTCATTCCTGAAGTCCCTACATAGGGTATGTTTGAAAAACGCGCAAAAATAAACAAACAAGCAACCCAACAAACAAACAAACACCCCACGAACAAACAAATAAACAAAACGAACAAAAACCAAGAAACTAAATAAGTGGATAAAATAATTCCCTTAAAATAGTTACCAGTACGTCTTACCTTGGTCCCTGGTTTGTACACGAATAATTGAATTATTTTGCTTCTCAAATTTTGCCTCCTGAAAATCATTATTTCCTTCTCTCTAAATACATGTAGTACATTATTTCATAACCTCGAGATCACAGATCTGTTTTCGACCATTATGATGAATTGAGTCTGTGGAAATTTACTCACAATTGTCACGTATATTTGAATGAAATTGTTTTGTAAATTTGACGTCTACCTTTACCGAAACGACTTTTTCTGACCGTGTTAATTTATCGTAGTTTATCTCTCTCGTAGAAGTTTTCAACTATACAATGGGAGGAGACTCGACACTCAGTTTTGCATTCGCCGTCCCAACTGCATTGGGAGTAGTCAGCGTCACCGTGGAGGCTGTAGGATTGACAGCTTCTGCAGCAACAGTAGCTATTATTGGGGTCGCTGCCGTGGGTGGAGCTGTGATTGGAGTTGTCATTGGCTATTCCGTGGGATCAACGCTCGGAAGTATTAAGAAGAGTAGACGGAAACAAAAAGCACGGATGAAATAGGCACCGTTATTGTACAGTTCTTGCAAAGCGATTCTTAAGCCGTAGACCCACTGCAAAATTTCTCCTCAATTTTCTTTGTAGAATTTAATGTTAACTTATCTCATCAATAATGACTCGTTAATTTCTGAATGCGTATGATTTCTAGATCAGTACCCGAAGAATCCAACTGAATCAAAATAAACGGAAGAGCAAAGATGTAATATGCTGAAACTGTCAAAGCTTTCTTTGTAACTGTTACAACACAGAAGCATGTTTGAATTCTGCTAGAGTTTCCAACTTATGGCAGTTTATGATAAGAGTGCATCGAAATCCAAATGAAATTGAGTATTGTCTTGACTATGTATAGTTGGTTATTCTCCAGAAGTGCAAGCTTGTAATAGTTAATTCTTTATTCCAAACCAGCATATAGCGAATTCCACGAGTGGGAGTACACGTACGTAACTTATAACGGTTATCAGCTTATCGGAATGACACATGTAACCAATTTTCTTCGACAATCTATAATATCAGTATTAACATTCAGCAATACTATACGAACTATATTGAACGTGTATAGGCCTATTAGACCCATGGTAATCAACATTCATCATTTGGTATGATTGTTTCATTCAACATATTTTTGTGAGAAAATTGCAAGTTATTTGTCTTTTTTCGCTCGACCCATTTCATTGTAGAACGGTCCACTCTGATCTTACCCAACCTCGTTCCCATGGCACTTAAGCAGTTATGCTAGTTTATGCACCGCCCTTCCTAGAATAAGTTTAATGCTGCATGAATTTTTTTCGAGCTTTCGTTGAAATCCGATCGAACAATTACAACACGGGACAACTGGACAAAACTCCACAATATTTTGTACGTCTGTAGTTTTACCATCACAAAATTCTGTGAAGGGCATTCGCCCACTTCAGTACCGTTTGAGGGCGTTGAGTGGACGAGCGAATTGATCAGTCCGCCGTGGCTGCTCTGTAGCTACTATGAATGAGGTTGTCGGATTGATCTCGAAAAGAGGATGGATGACAACGCCCTGTCGGGTGTTTCAATTATAACTACGTAACTGTACAAAGGATGGATGTATGCTGCCCCCGGAGACTTCTGTGCCTTCGTCCCCTTGATATTTTGAAATGTACATGGCCTATACACAGGCCAAATAAATTGGTATATTTTTGCCACCTTAAAAAAAATGTGTGCACTCCCAGTCTCCCCTCAGAAATGTCATCATATAGTTACGCAATAGACCTGACCTTATGCACATGACGTCACTGAGCGTATCTTCCTGTGGGATAGGCTCGAGTAAACGTCTTGTTTAACGATATTAGAATACTCAGTCTGAGACACAGCAATGCATAACCTTTGTAACAAGCCACCTTATGCTGATATCACTTCATATAACTTGCTTTAAGTTTAAATAATCATTTACTTTCCTGTCTCATGTAATCAGAATTACTGCTTTATAGATTTAACGCAATAATAATACAGTAAATGAGTAAAATAGTGGCTTTATTGACTGTTAATTGATTTTGGAGTAGATGCAGTCGTTGACTTGGAGAGGTTGCAGAAGGCTGTAGAGGTTTCCCTAAATCATCCCTTCCTCTGAATTCCTTTGGATGTAACATTTGTGTTCTTAAGAATGTTGCTGCGTCTTAAACGGGCGTTTCGAGCTCACCCTACATGCGCAACTTATAACAGACCATGCATCGTCATAGTTACATCACAAAGTGACGCGTAAGATAGCCTTTGTCCCGAAGTAACGTACCGTCCGTAGACTGTGTACTCGCGGTATGACATGACAGTTCATGGTGCAGCAACTACCACAAAGTACGATGGTTGCACTGTACCACTTCAAGGCAAATTCTCCACTGGGCAGACGCGCTTAAAAGTTCCCTCACGGTTTCTTTGGAAGAGAGGAGTTTCGGTGGCCCATGAAATTGTGGGATTGTGTAAGTATGGCCAAGGATCAACTCGCTAGATCCAAGGGCTCCCATCAGGGACAAAGCAGTCAAAAATTATTAAAAACTGCCAGAAGAGCCTAAGAAAGTCGAGGGATGTCATTTGAAAAATGGCAGCTGACAAACTTGGGAACGTTCACTTTTTTTGGGGGGGGGGGAGAGTTGAACTTGTTTTTGGTGGATAATTAAAAATCTAATCGGTTAACCTACTAAAATTTGAAAATCAAATGAGATCTGAAGGACCCTACAATACATTGGTTTTTGTTTGAGAGGCCTCAGGGACTTTATTTTCCTGCAATGGGGCTCCAAACTTTGTTGATTTACACTGTTTTCAGTAGGCTTGAATTAATGCAGTGCATTGCGATACATTTGTTGGAAGTTCTCGTCACAAAAATCGTGATTCTTGGATGAATGCTGCCAGCTGGGATTTAAGGGGGCCATTTGTTGGATCGGACCGGCCAAGCCTGCCTAATATTCACCGCCTCTAGTCCCCGTGGGTTTTGCTATGCCACACTGTGCCAATCCAACCCTACAATACATTGGTTTTTGTTTGAGAGGCCTCAGGGACTTTATTTTCCTGCAATGGGGCTCCAAACTTTGTTGATTTACACTGTTTTCAGTAGGCTTGAATTAATGCAGTGCATTGCGATACATCAGGTCGTGATGCAACCACCGCCCACTCGTGAAACCAAGTAAAATTGATGACGAAACATTTTTGTTCTCGCATCCTCGCCTGTATCATGTCAGACATACGAAACCAAGCAGGTATCTCTGATGTGTCCACAATTCTTAACAAGCCTGCAGTTAAATTTTATCTGAACCTTCCATACATCTTTGCAAACTCATGGGCCACGAGATGCTTCGGGGGCATGGAAAGACAGCTGCGTGTTGGCTGGGGGCGGGCTTAGGACGGACATGAACACATGATAGAACTCGCTCACCGTGAACACGCCGAACGAACCTTAAAATTGAAGGACCCCCTCTATCGTCCCTGACAAGAAATTGCACAGTCGATTTCTTTATAGCGGTAGTGGCTGGTTTCGAGCATTCATCTCGACAGCAGAGACAGTCCACTTGTTACCTCAACAGACGGAACGACTAGCATTGTTAAATCAGCAGCACAATGCTATGGAAAGTTCAAGGCAACACGCGGGGGTATCTACCTCCACTGTGATGGTTACAAAGCAGCCATTTTCTAAAGTAGTCTTTTTGGTCTCGTCACGCAGCCTGGAGTGGTACAATGCTGGCAGCAGCGGCCGCCGGCATTGAGCGCCAGAAACACCCAACGGGCCGTGGCTGTTGGGTCGCATAGCTGGCACGAATCATCGGTCGGTAAAGGGGCTGATTTTAGTGACAGGTTTGACTTGGAGTCCGGACTGGCTTCAAACGCACGCGGTGATAGTCTCATACTGACATATGTATATTGCGTAGGCTAACCGTGATCGTCTACCACGAGGCCCTACAAGTTGTTTCCATGTGAATAGGGCCTACCCATGTATTTTGCATTCCTCCACGATCATTTGTCAAGAAGGACTCCTTCATGTGGAAATGAAGTTTTTGCCGGCAATCAAGGCATTTGTTGGAAGTTCTCGTCACAAAAATCGTGATTCTTGGATGAATGCTGCCAGCTGGGATTTAAGGGGGCCATTTGTTGGATCGGACCGGCCAAGCCTGCCTACTATTCACCGCCTCTAGTCCCCGTGGGTTTTGCTATGCCACACTGTGCCAATCCTACTTCACATGCCTTCGGCCCGGTGCTGGTGTGTTTCCTAATCCTCTTCCTAAGTGCCCTTCCCCGCTTCGCGAGCTGTTCCAGTAACCCGACCGGCTGGCTGGCCTCTGACTACCCGCACCCACGAGAGCAGCCGCCCGGAGCCTGTGGCTTTACGTCAGGCGAGTTTGCCTGGGTGACACCAGCTAGGGACCCAGTCAACACCACCGATTACTGGATATGCGACCCGGACCGTGTGCTGTCACTCGACGAAGGTTTGTTATAGACTTCTCTTTTGCCCATCCACTTTGTAGAAATGATTTCCTGTCTTTATCAGCGTCCATCAATGTGTCATTCCATGCACTCTTTAGAATGTGACCTCTTCAAATATCTTTCGCCGGTCATAAACGCTCATGTAACTCTCCCCCACGGCATAGACACACTTTGACTTTGAAGCTTAGGTAGGTCTACCTTGATGCGAATTTAATATAATGCAAATTTAACTTAGTAAGACATAGTAAAATGGATCATTTCTTTCTCCACATCACGATGTAGGTCTGCTAATATGAAGATAACCCACGCATCTCACTCTCCCATTGTGTAAACAAAAATATATAGGCTATAAAAATGAATAGAGCAAAGTTGCAAAACATTCTGGAAGGACTGTTATATCACCCCACCTCCGTAATTGATTAGGAAAAGGAAATACCTCTGAAAACTGTTTTTCCTTGGTAGCAGCTACTTATACAAATGGCATAAAATCTTGGTTCCAGAATCATCGTAGTGAAATTAAGTCTAACAAATGACTCAATTTAAAATTTCTTTTTTGTATTGGACATGTCATTGATGTATACATCTCACCCGCTTTGGGGCCTATTTTTAAACTCGGCACTAAATGGAAGCCGATTCTGCCGCACATTTTCGCATTCGCAGTCAGAGCTGGTGGTTATATATTTCTCCTATTTTCCCCACTCCTGACCTTTGTATGGTGCTTCTTAGGGGCAACAGAAAAAGCAAGGCATTTCTTTCCCTATAGCCGTTACAGTTTACACCTGAAAACAATTGCAGACATTGAATGCAACATAATTTGATCACAGTCGCAACACAGGAATTACACACCTATTCGTTACGTCTGTGTGTAGGCCTATCCATATGTTTGTTCTATTCCGGTTATTCAAAAGAAGTCCGAGATTTCCATCATCGGCAACCGAATTCGTCTCCCTTATTATAGCAACACAGTACATATACATGTACATGTATGCTGGTGCCACACGCACGACAGAAAATGACAATGTCGTCGCCGCCATAAAAAACGCACTATACACCACAGGTGACCTTTGGACTAAAAAACCCCTTTACACGTACCGCGCATTTTATTGGATGCCGTGCACGTATTGTTACTGAAAACCTACATGTAAGATAGCAAGTCAGGCATGTTGTTTTAACACGCCCACATTCGCTGTTTGCACATTACCATCTGCCACTTCTACCCGGTTTCATTTTATGGGCAACCCTCTCCATGACGGACTGTTACTTATTATAATAAATCTTTTGTCCAAACACGATCTGATAACTTCTCTCTTATCATTGACATTTTGAAGATTTTTTTCCCTTTCGACTGCATGCGTCATGCGAGCGAAATGCAAAAGATTCTAATGATATGCTCTAGCAAAAGGGATGATTTCTGTTGTTACTCGGCATCTCTCTGTGTCACGACTGCGGGTCTAAATGCGATGCGGACCATATCGGAAGAACCTTGTGTATTTAATTTTATAAGCACGCTGACACTTTTATATGCTAGGGAATCTTCAATTATTTATTGCTCGGACTTTCTGGTGTATCCTCAAAATAAACAGAACTGCACTGCAAGTCAGTATTTTACTGGCAAAAACCCGTGTATGGGTGTTAAAGAGTGAACTTAAAGGGCGAGCTATAGAAACGTAAATGTGGTGAATGCTTTAGCCACTAGAAGCTAAACGAACCGTGCGGTATACTTCTCATCCATTGGAACTGATCCAAATTAACGTTTTCTCGCTGTCACACATCTGTTGGTGTTGTTTCGATATGGTATTGTAAAATATCCGCCCAAAATGAGCGTGAAATATACAACTGAACAAATGTACTGTTCTTTGCTCGTTCAAACGGCAGCTGATCAGTTTTAAACCCAATTTCCCGGATGTAGAATGTCGATAAGTTTTCGTCAGGAGTTCCCCCTTTTTAAAATTTAACTCCGTACCGAAGGAAACATTGGCCTACAAATCGCAAGTGCACACAGAAGGATTAGAGCAGACAGGTTCACGTTCATTTAACATGCAGTCCACAGCCCACATACAAGGGCGATGCATCCCACGTCCCAGTTTCATATTTGAGAGTGTCTGTATAACCAGTTTTGTGATACTACATTGATCAATCAGATGCGTGAGGCCGAAGGTTTCTCACTTAACAGAGTCACAAACAAATCGTCTGGGAGTACGGTACACCATACATAAGAAATATCTCTTGTGGTCATTTTGGCGAAGCACTCGGGCAAGACGACAAACAAAATCAGCAGAGCTGCAATTCAATTTCGACCTGTCGTGCTCCCCTCTGCGATTCTGTGCGACTCGCACCGGTACAGAACAAAAATAGTAGTCACAGAAAAATGTCTACTTTTCAGAGGATGTTTTAAGGTTGAATGGCGAGATTGCCAGCGTGTCAGGACTGTCTGGGACTGATATGAGGCCAGCCAGCTGGACCGCAAATCGCCTTGGACAAAAATACCAGAATGATGCTGCACGTGGCGGGGTATTATTGTCTGGGTATTGAGTTGCAGAACAGCGCATGCCTTCGCTTATGAATCGCTTCCTGGGGCATGACCGACGGCTGTTGTCATTTCCAGTGTTGGGAGGGGGTCGATGGTGTGTCAGTGGTAGTAGAGTTTTGGGATGGTGAGATGAGGGTTAATGACGACTGGCGTGGTGATCCGAATGTAGTTTGAATGGTGGGGAGATGGATGGCTGTGTTTCTGAGGAATGCTGTAACCAACCGTGGGGTGGTAATGTTGTTGGTTAAGCAGCTGAACATTAATTTGTACACGTATTAATGTATAGGACTAATGCATGGTTTTCACGAGTATTCTGCATTTGGTGATATTGGTTCAATCATAGAGGAAGGACATAGAAGGATTTCGAACTGCCCGGGCTATAACATCTGGCCAACTACCGCTTTCTGGCGTGCCTGGTATGTCCAAAGCCAGAGAGCAGCGAATGCTTGCTACGCACCATCTGTTTCACAACCACGAAACCCCTTTGTACCCTATGATCGCCGCCGCAAAAAAAGTTGTCGCTGGTAATCTGTATCCTTAAAACTTTGTGTTCTGATCATTCATGCATTCGTTGGTGCTTGGTATGATCTCATAACAACATCAAATTTAATGCTTGCGCAGTAGCTTGCATTACACCGTGTGCCTTAAATGTATGCGTGCAGCCATTGCCCTTAATGAGCTCTCTCTTCTGTTTGGTTTGAATCATTTTTATTATTGCATTTGTACGAAAGCTATTTTTTGAGATTTCGTGATTCTTTGATGAAATAGCGCATTTTGTTCCTTATGAACTTAGCCTGGCCATTCTTTGTTTGGCCAGTCTTAGCCAAATTTGTTTCAAGACTTTGAAAACTGATGTATTGGGGGAGGAGAATAAAATTACAAACTTTGCATGGGATAATGGAACAGTGTATCAATTTGAAAAAAAAAATTATTCACGGGGGCAAAAGTAAGTCTAATATCAGAGATTTTTTTCTCTCTATTCCCGGTCACAGCAATAAATTGTATTTCATTGCAAGCAAAACACGACAAGTATTGCTAGGATATTACTGGCCCCGCTTGTTCGGCTAAGATGCAGGCAGTAATCGAGCATTTTTGGAATGTTTGCTATCATTCATCTGACTTGGCGGAGACGATCATTGAACACCTTGAAGTGCCAGAATTGCAGCTCCTTCAGTGTCCTTCTATGGTTCAACTTGATGAAGAAATATGTTGATTTGTGAAGTGATGTTGATTTTTGGACACTAGGTGAAAGGGTTCTGAGGGTGGGAAAAAGGCCGGAGTTTTGCAGATGAAGATTTAGGTACCGACCACAATATATTTACTGACATATGTATCCTATAATTATTTATGATGATAAGAAAATATAAATTTACAAATTAAAAGGTGAGGCCAATACAAAAATCAATTGTTTTGGACAGATATCGTACTCCTATAGCCTGATTCACCTTAGAAAAACTCAATCAAGAAAACATTAAATCTTCCCATAAACCATTGTCACCCTCTTAGATGTAGTTCGAGGATGTAAAGAATATTTGACATTCCTCGTCATGTATTCATCCGCGAACATTCTTCCCGCAAGACATAAAACAGTGCCAAGTCGTCATTCTTCCCGCAAGACATAAAACAGTGCCAAGTCGTAGAAGGCGGTGCGTGGTCCAAATAGTTGACATTGCAAGATGATTATCACTCGGAGGTGCTTTCCATTTGTCACCTGTAGGCTTCCGTACCAGACATTTATCATTTTTTAGATGTTTGCCATCGTCACCATCGTCTGTGAACCGTTTTATTCGCCCTTATAGTTGCATCTCATCTTTCCATGTCACTGGAATCTCATTGTATAATCAATTGCAGAGATATGAAAATTTGAATAAATATCCCAAACATGTACTTATTTCTGGCATTCTGCCCCAGCGTCTTTTGACCGGAATGAATGTCCATCGATAGTTGCTCTGACACTGTGACAGGGTTAAGTTCAGTAAATCACAGCTAATAATTCCACTGTTGTGTTATCGAGTGGTGACGTACATTACTGTGGGAAATGCCAACCGTGTCCGTTATTTTTATCTTTCACTCTGAAGGGAGAAATTGAAGCATGTTTGGTGCCTTTCTCACATGTAGCTGACACTGTTGTGAAACCCAAGTTGACATGGAAACGCGCGCATGACATTCTTTACTGTTGGATGTTTTCATTGAGCTCGAGTTTTTGTATTTGCTCTCTATGATCTGTGCAGCCCTTGTACTCGCTGACTACCTGAAAAGTCTTTTCCACAAGTCTCCCTGTGACTGCGAGGCGGTAGAGTGCCCCGGAAGTGATGTCACACCGACGGGCTATCTGATTGGTGTAGCCCTTGTCGAGCGCTTGGATATCGAAGGGTAAGATGTGCAATCTGTAAAATATCTTGGCAGCATTGGGTTTATCATGATTATCCATTCAATTGATAAATAAATTATCGTGTGAAGATGTTTTTAAAATAAAAGGGTTTATTTCACATATTCAGTTCTGGATTGTACCTAATTGGCCAAATATCCGTTAACTGGAACGATTCATACGCACGGACGTATTATATCGGGTACAGGCAGTGGGATATCGAGAATCAATTAAGGCATGTTCTTTCCGCATTCGATGTATTTGAAAAAATATAACACTGGTAAATTAACTCCGACAGTTGTTCTCTTGTCCAGAATACATTCGCAGACATCAATCAACTTGTGTCGCTGAATATGGTGGGAAAGGCTCAGTTGGATGGCGTCATCGCTGTAATTAATATTTGCATTAAAACTGGGGAATTAAGCAGTATTAGCCGAGATTTTGAGACAATGTCAAGTGCCACTTAAATCACACTTTTTTCTTGTGGCATTCTCGGACATGTTTTAAATGTATTCAGTAGAGCTGGGGTGGAAACCGTTCTCGACATTTTTTTCCGATATCTTCGCAGTGCATTTTTTTACAAGTCGAGCCTTTAAGAGTTTTTACAATAATACCTTACAGTTATTTTGACTTATTTTGTTAACATATGACATGCCGTTCTTGCGCAAGGTCCATTATTCCGAGACAGGTCAGCCAAAATGTATGACGTGCCTGATGCACGCAGGCTGACTCGCACGTGGCCTTGAGTTTCAAACGATCGTAACAGAACCATGAATCAGATTGAGTTGATTCCTCACGAGTTTGAAAAAAATCAGGCATGGGGCGGAATCCAACCCTCCAGCAGTCGATGGTCAGGAAAAACGGCCCTTCTAGGGTAAAAAAAAGACAATTGTACATGGGCACCGTGATACACGACTCCGAGCGAAAGAGCTCTGTACAGTTTTGCTGCTTTGCCATCAACCGAAACATGGAACTGCATGGCCACACGTGTATTTGTCATCGAGGAATTGTGGGCTCATTATACGATATCGTAGGACAATTTCAGCCACTTGTGCATGAGATCAACTCGTCTAAATATGGATTTATTTTACGGTTCATGTAGTTGCGTTTGAAATTATTACCATTTGAAATGCTGTGTTCTTTTATAGTACAAGAAATGCAAGGCGATTCAAGTATATTGCATCTCAGTAATAACATACGTACATTATGCCGTACAAAAAAGAAGTATTGCCAATTGATCCATTATATTGTTGTTGGTTGTGCGTGGAACATACTCTTTATATAAGTCAACATTACATTCATGTTATCAGAACATTGTGTGATGCATCAACCATCCAGATGTTCGTCAACCTGTTCATGCCTGATTGGGCACACGAACATACTCAGGGGCTGTCAACAGTAATCAATATCGCCATTATTAATACAGAACTCAGAAAGTCCAATAACTCCTGCCACAAATAAGCACTTCTAACGTGATCCCCAACCATTGAATTTATGTAACCTTTTATGGCCTTTCTTAACGGTGAGTCTGAATCCTTTTTAGGGAGGGAGGCTTTTCACGTGCATCGGGGAGGAAGGAATTATTGAAAAGGCTCCACCAATTGCCTTTCAGTGTATTTCAAAAACTCCCCTCTTTTTTTTCAGGGAGGAGATAGCCCCCTTTAGTCCCCCCTCCCCCGTTAGATGTGACTTTCGATGAAGACGAGACTATCAAAGTCGAGGAACTAATGTCACGTCATCTTTAATTCATTATTCATCATAACACGGAACCGATATCGGTTGTCCGTGTTTCCGAATGCTTAAGGTATTAGTTACTTTAAGATGAGGAAAATGAGTAAAAACACCAGCTGTCGTCATAATGATTCAAATAAATGATCACGTGGGAGCAAAAGAACCCCTTGTACGTTGACGTCAGAGGTTTTGATGATGGACCCAAACTAAGGAAACCTAATGCTGTCAAGTGATAATGACGTCACAGATACACCTCTTCTCATCCAATATTCATTTCTTTCCAATTCGGCACACATCTGATGGCTCGTGTCAAGAGGCCCCGGGGGCGATGTGTCAAGCCAAAAAGCTAAAGTCCCGTAGAAAATCACGGGGAACTTGTTGGCATGATGATGTCTTTAACCTGCTGGGATTGCGACGCCCCGTCTCTAGCTCTCTCCCAGCCCCGTTGCAACTGTGACAAATCTTGTGATGACGTAATTGTGACTTTTAGCCTGATAAGTGGCGTGCATGTATTCGTGTGAATTATGAATAGTTACATGTTTCGGGGGAGCATAATGTGTTTATTGTTGAAATCCTTCGCAATATCCTGGTGGAGTGGAAAAATCTGAGGGGGTTGTGGTGGGCGCAGGAAATTTATCCGACATCAGGTGGCTTTTTCGAACTTATTTACGTAATCGTGTACAACACACGTACATAATCCCTTGTCAGTACAGTTAAGTTTGTAACAGGCTAGTTCCATGAGCGGGAACATATAAAATAGGCTTTATTTGTAAGTCTTAACAAAAAATGGAAGAATGGGGAACATGTCCCTCAGCCTCCCAATCAACTCATGGCATTCAAGTTGTTTCATTTATAATGTAGGTATTGTTTTATTGCGCCAGTTAAATTAATTTGAAATACATATGTATCTGTGTAACAAATTATGTTGACTTATGAAGTAGACCGATATTTATTGCCTTCATTAAGCAAATAGTTATGTTGATTGTGTCAAAGATATGATATTCGGAGTGTCAAATAAGCGTACGGACACTCGTAAACTGCAAAACAAGCGTCGTTACGAGCATTCGGCCGGTAAGGTCCTGTATCAGTGTTTGATATTGTTCCAAACTGAACGGCGTAAAGGCTTAGCACACGCATGAAGGGAGTGTAAATAAACTAGACTTGAATTAAAGACTATTCTGTGATGGCGAGAGTCCGCGTCATCCAAACGCGATAACAAGCGTTTTTCCCACAAAAATGTTGGCGCTTTAACGCTTTAATTAGGATTATCCTTGCATGGTGGGAAACCGTGGATTCCAACGATGACGTCAAAGGTGTGTGATGAATAACCCTATTTACGAAAGTGGCCAACCGTTGGGTTTACATAGGCCGGGAGCATGTGCCATGCATATAAGCAGAGGTCCCATCACCTCCTTCTCTCCGGGGGCGGCGTGTAAGTGCTATTTTCCCCGCCAGTGCAAGTGCAGAATTTCCCGGGGGGCTTGCGGTGGATTACGCGCTAAGGTGCCTCGCGCATAGCATATAGCTGGGCGCAGCGAGAGGTGTCACACGTTGTACGGGATGCATTTCTCTTCGTCCGGCATCCGTTGGCTCACACTTTCCGCGCTGATGCGGCAGCGGCGATGCCTGTACAAGTATTGTCACTTTGAAAACCGTCACATTCTCTTGTCGCTATATAGAGCTGTTATAAAATGCAGTCCTGGCCATTTACCCCTTCACTTCCCACCTGGGCATAAGCAGAGCGTCGAGAGTTAGGTGAGGCTTCAACCAAAGGTGTGACTTCTCGGTCATATTTCGAAACCAGACTGTAATTGCTCAGTGCCCATTACCGAGTCCGAATTACTTGCCAATGGCTAGAAATGTCCTTTGGAAGCCACTTGCTTGCGGTTGCCGCTATTTCCCGTTGACCGTGCGTAGCATCGCTAGTCGTAGCCACAACTTTAGACATGGTTGTTGTTTCATGCGCATCAGGCTTACAATCATATTGACGAAACAACTTTTGTGTCATTACACAACGCGAGGCCTTAACACTTGAAATGAAATTGGCCTTTACAAATCCTTTCGAGACACAGATAATTTCGAAGATTCCCAGGTGATTGTCGCTCTTCCAGAACCCAGGTGTTACTGGAAAGATGAGTGGAGAGTTACTTGAATCAACCATGGAGTATGTGGCGGGAAGCAGCGATGAAACTTTTATACATGTATCTAATCAACTGACCCGCCATGCGGTCACCATCTTCTCTTAATCCACTAAGAGACAATGATTTCATGCACGGCACCTGTATTTTAATTGCCACTTCGTAGAGATCTGTCAACCAGCATGGAAGTTGAAGGCATGCATGTAAAACGGTCAAAATCTGAAGGACTTGGGAATCCAGTGACTGCAAGAGTTAAGAAAAAATCGCTCCAGCAATTAGAGATTCAAGTCCTTCAACCTGTATCAAAGCGCACTGTTTAATTCACAACTCACGTCTTTTCGAGCGTAAGATTTCTGTGTAATGTACATCATACCCACGGAACTTAGCCGACCGTTATACGAAGCCGCACGTGCGCTGACAATTCAACAGAGTGCCGTGTTGGTGTCGCTGTTTGCACATAAAGGAGTCAGGCTTGCTATCAGCATGCGATAGCAACACTGTTCAATGCAGCGTGTACCTCTATGCCTTTGCCAAACCCTCTGGCGTTCTTGAGATGTTAATGTTTCGTCCTTCGGCCGTGCTATGTTCTCTCATTACCTTAATAAACTTTAATGCGGTCTGAAGGGCGTAAATTCTTCCGTTGATTTAGTTATTTTGCTTTTACGGTAACTTTATTATACTCCCGAAAGCCTTTTTAACGAGGGTTTTAAAGCCTCCATTAATGGGTCGGTCTGGGTCCCATGTATCGGCTTGATAACGACATAATGGAGACATTTTGGTATGAAAATTATTCCAGATTAATTTCCAGATGCGCAGACATTAGTGTCAACTTTTTAAATACAGGATTGCTAAAATACCAGTCGAAGTGCCAACTTCAACTAAAGAGGCTTTAATTAAGAAACGAATAAGTTATGCAAACAAAAATCTCTGTAATGTGCAGAATTGAATAAGAATGGTCTCCGATAGGTCACGCGACCTGTAATGGGTATCAAACATGAATTAACGTAGCAACGTGTGTTTAAGTGTTGTTTGCCAAAAAGATAAACCGATTTTCGCAATAATACTCAGAACATCAGTAGTGTGAGTACTGTACCAACCGTCAGCTTTTGCTTTGGTGAACGACATTTTGACACACTTTATGTGAGGACACTTGATGTTTGAAACCCACTGTAGGTCACATGACTTAGTAGACGTAATTGGTCTATGGACAGAGTCTCTGATTTTTATAGGCCAACTTGAAAAATTAATGCAAAATTTAGTCTATTTGTTTATTCAAGTTTATTAGGGTATGTAAAAAATGATACTTTAAAAAGTGAGATTGACAAATGACTTGATTTTTCATGTGTTTTTCAGGATGAAGTTTGAGCCGATTAATGTCAAAGCTGCCAATTTTGCCAAGGCGACAAGAGAGAAATGGTTCTCTGATCTTGGCTGCGACGACAATGCACTAATATTCTATTCCAGATTCTCCAATGAGGTATGTGTAACAAACATCCGGCTCCTGGAGAAGCCATTTAGAGAAGTAACATTGTTCAGCCTACCCAAAGTAACGCAGTTTTCCAATTGACCCACACTAATTGTCCGTTGAGCCCACAAGACGGTTAAGCGAAAATTGTTGTCTAGCCAAAGCTTTTCAGATCACATTTGTGACTACGACTGGGGGGCGTCACTTTATTTAATACTGCAGCCGAAAGTAATGCTAATGGGACAGCATTACGATATAAACATGTATGACGTTCGTTTATCCCAGCCCCCAAGAAGATAATTTCTTTAGCATCCTAATTTAAGACACAGTAAAATTAAAGAATAATCTAATTTAAAGTTCCCACATAATTTTTTTCCCGGCAGTGACCTTTGGCTTTTGTTCAACATTCTTGTCCAACAGCTTTTCGACGTGGCGTTCATCATAATGAAATATCAACGTTGTATGTAATAGGTTTTACCCGCTTAATCCCGATCGCTGCATCAAAAAGCACATGACGTCATTGGCTCGTCTGGCACTACCATGCTTTTTGAAAGGCTGCATTATGCTGGCATTCAACAACAGGCAAATGTACGCAGTTTATACGCTGAGTATCACAATGAAATCTGTCCACGGCGCGGCGAGTTACAGACAGAAGACATAATGATGCGCATGTAATTCAGTTGCCAACGCAAATGTGTTATTAAACCATTAACGGTTCGTTGGACGCGTGTACAGCAATGACCCGCGACCTCATTTGTTTGTTTTGCATGCTGCTGTATTCCGTTAAG